ACCATCATGGTATTCCACACAGCTCTGACCAAGGTACTCACTTTATGGCTAAGAAAGTGTGGCAGTGGGCTCATTCTCATGGAATTCACTGGTCTTACCATGTTCCCCATCAGCCTTATCCAACATCATGGTATTCCAAACAGACTCTGACCAAGGCACTCACTTTATGCCTAAGAAAGTGTGGCAGTGGGCTCATTCTCATGGAATTCACTGGTCTTACCATGCTTCCCATCAGCCTGAAGCAGCTGGATTGATAGAATGGTGGAATTTCATTTTGAAGTTACAATTACAATGCCAACTAGGTGACAATACTTTGTAGGGCTGGGGCAAAGTTTTCCAGAAGGCTGTGTAAGCTCTGAATTGGCATTCAATATATGGTACTCTTTCTCTCATAGCCGGGATTCACAGGTCCAGGAATCAAGGGGTGGAAGTGGAAGTGGCACCACTCACCATCGGCCCTAGTGATCCACTAGCAAAATTTTTTCTTCCTGTTCCCCTGACATTAAGTTCTGCTGGCCTAGAGGTCTTAGTCCCAGAGGAAGAAATGCTGCCACCAGGAGACACAACGATTCCATTAAATCAGAAGTTAAGATTGCCACGTGGATACTTTGGGCTCCTCTTACCTTTACATCAACAGGCTAATAAGGGAGTTACAGTGTTGGCTGGGGTGACTGACTCGGACTATCAAGATGAAATCAGTCTACTGCCCCACAATGGAGGTAAGAAAAAGTATGCATGGAATACAGGAGATCCATTTGGGTGTCTCTTAGTATTACCATGCCCTGTGATTAAGGTCAATGGGAAACTACAACAGCCCAATCCAGGCAGGACTACAAATGGCCCAGACCCTTCAGGAATGAAGGTTTGGGTCACTCCACCAGGAAAAAAAACCATGACCTGCTGAAGTGTTTATTGAAGGCAAAGGGAATACAGAATGGGTAGTAAAAGAAGGTAGTCATCAATACTAGCTACAACCATGTGACCAGCTACAGAAACGAGGACTGCAATTGTCATGAATATTTCCTCCTCCTTTTGTTAAAAACATGTTTGCGCATATATACACTTGTACTCAGAAGATATTCTCATTTTATATCCTTTCTCCTTTATCATGTGACATAAGATTTATTGACTTCACATCAGCATTTAAGTATTGTTAAGTTTACGTAATAGTATTTGGGTTGGGGATTGGTGCGTGTCCAGTTGTACGAAGGATAGTTGTATTATGTTAGACAAATTATGACCTTATTATTGTCTTTATTTGAAGATGATGTATGATCTCAGGAGATGTATATGTGTACCAGTTGACAAGGGGTGGACTTGTGATGGTTAATACTGAGTGTCCACTTGATTGGATTGAAGGAGACAAAGTACTGATCCTGGGTGTGTCTGTGAGGGTGTTGCCAAAGCAGATTAACATTTGAGTCAGTGGGCTGGGGAAGGCAGACCCACTCTTAATCAGGTGGGCACAATCTAACCAGCTGCCAGGGCGGCAGGCAGAAAAATGTGAAAAACAGAGATGGGCCTAGCCTCCCAGCCTACATCTTTCTCCATGCTGGATGTTTCCTGCCCTCAAACATCAGACTCCAAGTTCTTCAGTTTTGGAAGTCAGACTGGCTGTCCTTGCTCCTCAGCCTACAGACGGCCTATTGTGGGACTTTGTGATCATATGAGTTAATACTTAATAAACTCCCCTTTATATATATTTTTATATTTATATATATATGTGTGTGTGTGTGTCTGTGTGTGTATGTTACATACACAGACACACACACATATATATACACATATATATGTATATATATTCCATTAGTTCTGGCCCTCTAGAGAACCCTGACTAATACGATCTGTCACCCAGGCTGGAGTGCAGTGGCACTATCTTGGCTCACTGCAGCCTTGACCTCCTGGGCTCAAGCAATCTGCTTGGAAGTAATCCCCATCTCAGCCTCCCAAGTAGCTGAGTCTATAGGCGTACACCACCACATCCAGCTAATTTTTTGTATGTTTGGTATAGACGGCATTTCACCATGTTGCCCAAGCTGGTCTCGAACTCCTGAGCTCAGGCGATCCACCAGCCTTGGCCTCCCAAAGTGCTGGGATTACAAGTGTGGGCCACCGCACCCAGCCACAAGCTGCATCATTTCTGAGAGTGCTTATAAGAGATACAGTACACTTAGGTAATGGCCTCTAGCTCCATCCATGTTGCTGCAGAGGACATGATTTCATTACTTTTTATGGCTACATAGTATTCCATGGTGTATATAACACATTTTATTTATCTATTTTATATATTTATATATAAAATATATAATACTTTGTATATGCATATGTAATACATTATATGTATTTTATTTATACATTTTATTTATTTTATATATTTTTATACATTTATTTTATATATTTTTATATATACATTTATTTATATATACAATGTATTTTATATATACATTCATACATTTTACATATTTATAAAATGTATATGTAATACTTTGTATATGCATATGTAATACATTTTATATATTTTAATATATATTTTTAATATATAAAATGTATATGTAAGTATGTATATATATGTATAAATGTGTGTGTGTATATATATATGTGTGTGTAGAAAGAGAGATAATACACTTTGCAGAGTCTCTGGAATGGGACAACTATTTAGAAAATGGCAACTTGCATCTCTTCCCTCGCTTCAGACATTCTGCCAATCTGGACCACTCAACCTCAAACAGTAAGGGTGTGAGTCAGAAAAGGGGAGTCGGAGGGACTTAAAGCCCTCAAGTGAAGTTTGCACAAAGGACTCATAAAAGTTAACAGGCAAATGGGCACTATGTGAACCTCTGTCTTGGGGTATTAAAGAACTGAGGATTGCCCACATCTTTTTAATGAGTAGTCAAACTTCACAAAAGCTACTCTGACCCAGTGGCCTCAAGAAACAGGACGGCTACACCACCTTGGAGAAATTCTCTGGAGGTAACTTGGGATAGGGAGGCCAGGGCACCCAGGACTCACATACACTATTCACTGAGATTCCTCCAAAGTTATTTTCTAATCTGTTTCAAAGTTGTCCTCAAACACTGTTGTGGACTGAATGTTTATGTCTCCCTAAAATTCATATGTTGAAATCCTAACCCCCAATATGATGGTACTAGGAAGTGGGGCCTTTGGGAGGTGATTTATTCATGAGGGTGGAGCCCCTATGAATGGATTAGTGCCTTCATAAAAGAGACTCCAGAAAGCTCCTTTGACTCTTCTGCCATGTGAGGACACAGCAAGATAACAGCCATCTATTAACCAGGAAGTGGGCTCTCACCAGACACCGAATCTGCCAGTGCCTGGATATTGGACCTCTAGAACAGTGAGACATTTGAGGTCCTTGGTAAGGTAACAGTGCCTCTAGAACAGTGAGACATAAATTTCTGTTGTTTATAAAGCCACCTCGTCTATACTATTCTGTTATAGCCGCCTGAAGGGACTAAGTCAAGCATGAACAACTGGAAATCTATTTTTTGCAACATTTTCTTTGAACCCAAGTGCTTAGGAACAGAGGGCATCTGATTTTGCAGAACTCCAAATACTAGGTTTTATACTTAGAAGAATAAAAGCTTTTACAGGCTCTACATTTTCCATTTAGCTGTAATTCTTAGGCTCAACCAATAGATAGCAGCATTAGAGAAAACAGAGGCAGCTGTGCAATCCCTGCGCCCCGCCCCCTGCCCCCCGCCCCCCGCCAACCTAAAGAGAGGAAGAAGGGGTTGGCAAAGGAAAGAGGTGTTGGGGTCAAGCAAGGTGCAGCCACCTTTCACTGACTGTCCTATATGCCTGGCTGAACGCTTTACTGTAAGGTGACAATAGGGTGAGTCAGGCATTAACCCTATTTTACATAAGAGGAACCTGAGACTGAATACTGGTATCTTTTTCCTGAAGTCACACAGTAGCAAATGGGGGATTGGCATGCAAAGCCAGGTGTGTCTGTTCCCATCCCACCTCACCTCCCTGAATGTCCAAGAGGAGATGTGTTGGGGAGGATGACTAAGGCCATCTCTGCCCTGTCCTTTGCACATGCCCTCATGCCATTCCCTTGTAACTCCTGTAGCTCTCCTTTCTTTGTCAACCAATCTGAGCTCATAACTTTCTTGAGGCCAAGTCTCAGACCATCCCACCCCTGCAACAGGTGTCCTGTACCAAATTTTCCTGGCCACATCACTCTCTAACACATGCTCTTCAACACTAACCAGGTATTTAGGCCCTGGTATGCAAAGTATGGTCTGTGGACCAGCAGCATCGGCACCACCTAGTTAGAAATGCAGACTCTCAGGCCCCACCCAAGACCTACTGAACCTGCACTCCAATAGGCTCTCAAGGTGATTCACGTGCATGCTAAAGCTTCAGAAGCACTAGGCTAGCTTACCTTGTGTACCAAGGACCTCAAATGTCTCTGGTCATAGCTAGTGAGTCAAGAGACTGGGTTTCCAGAGGTGCCTTCCTATGCAGGCAATGTTAGGCTGCTTGCTCGGGTCCACATTAAGAGGTTAGTGGTTTTAAGGCTTAGTCCCCATTCTCAGGAAAAGGATACTTCTGTCTTTGCCTCCTCTAATTCCCACCCTGTCACAGCTCTGAACAATGAGCCAGCAGGCCCTAATAAGAGAGATATTGGCAAAGTCAAGGGATTGAAATTCCACCACCCTGGGCCCCACAGGCAGGAGAGAGATGTGCTGGAGCAATGCTGTAACCTTGGGGCTATCCAGTGGGAAAGCAATGGAACCATCTTATCAAGAAGCAAGGAAGTAAAGGCATTGAAATTGGACCTGCTTTCTGTCAGGCACACAGAAACATAACTCTCCATTAGTTAGGCTGGAGCCAGAAGGAGTTGACCAGAGGCCGTGGCATCCCTGGGCTAGATGGGAACCCACTAACTGGAATTGCCTGGTCTCCCATGCAAACCTTGTCCCCACGCCCTCCCACAGCCCACGATGACTTACTTGTGATTCCTCCTTTCTTACCTAAGAATCCTATGAAATAATACGCGTTATTTGGTTTTCCTCCTAATGCCCCTAAAGACTGTGGCATCTTAAAACACTCCTGGAGAGAAAGAGAATGCAAGATTCTCAACTCACTTGTGGACTGCTGCTCACGGATCTCTGTGCTGAGATGGCGGTGTGATGGGCAGGCAGCAATGGGCTCGGGGAAAGAAGTGACTTACTTTGAATGCATCAACATAGACAGGATTGATTTGGTTTATGCCCAGGCGAAGGGGCACAATGAGCAGCAGGGGCTTCCAGGCTGGGCAGTGGGCAGAGGTGCCCTTACTCTGGTTTGAAGCAGTCAAATAATCGAGAGGCCTGTCACCAGCTGTGTCAGCACTCAAGGGAAGGACACGGCACATTTTTTCTAGAAATGGAAGAACAGAAAATTGGATAAGTAAGGAGTCTTCAGCCCTAGAAGATACTCCAATATCAAAACTAAGGGGAACCTCACATGCCCCCCACCCTGCCTAGAAGGCCCTCTCCTCTGCCACCAGGGTTCAGCTGACTCCCCACCCGCACGAAGCCCAGGCCATTCCTCTAGCGCTCATGCTTTTTCATTCCGGCCGCAGGGTACTTGTTTAGCTCCTAATAGGGATTCTGGGCTCATTGTAAGAATCTCATTTCTCAAGTCTGCCAGGGCTTTTGAGACAGGGACTGTATCTTTAGGTTGCTCTGACTCCTCAGTGCAGGAATCACAGGCCTGGACAAGGGTGAGCCTCCATGAAAGATCTGTTGGTGGTTGAATAAATTATATGCACTTTGTGTTTTCTGCAGGGAAGGAGTGTGGTACTGTTCTCCCTCTCAGAAAACTGAAAAGAAAGAATCAGAGCCCTGTGCTCCCCTAAGCTCCCCTGCCCTGGTGGGGAAGACCAGAGAGACTCTCTTGAGTCCCAGAATTCTGAATGGTGAGGAAGGAACTCATCACCCATCAGCTGGGAAGTTAAACAGACTGGTAACTCACTGATATCTTCAATGACCACTGTGTTATCCATTGAAACATAAACAGCCAAGGAATTCCATTCATCAAATAAAGCAAGTTTTCTGCAAAGCAATGTATAAAGAAGTCACAATTTGAGAAGATGGAAATATCAGCAGAAAACAGTACAATTTATGCCCAGTGTTCCTAAAGTCACCAACACTGAGCCACAGAAAAGCTGGTGTTCAGGTTAGCTCGGCTTCTTTGCCAGAGCTCTGGGACACTCCACATCTAGAGACCTTGAGAATGTCCCTGAGTCACTGTATCTGAACCTCAAAAAGAAGTTTCTGCTTTACAAGCTGGAGAAGTCTACTTCACAAAATGATGGGACACCTACTGGGGAAAAAAGAAAAGTTACCCGTGCATCTGCTCTCAAAGTCCCAAGAGACTTTGTTTTCTTAAATAAAAGACATTCTGACTTAATGAATTTTCATTTTTCAAAAGGGAAACTGTAAAAAAAAATTTTTTTTAAAGGAAGCTGTCCATAAAAAATAGACATTTGTTTGGGATCACAGATAATATGGAGAATATGTTCCAGGTAAACCCAGAGAGAGAGAGAGAGACAGTGGGTAGAGGGGACAGAGAGAGAGAGACAGTGGGTAGAGGGGACAGAGAGAGAGAGAGACAGTGGGTAGAGGGGACAGAGAGAGAGAGACAGTGGGTAGAGGGGACAGAGAGAGAGAGAGACAGTGGGTAGAGGGGACAGAGAGAGAGAGAGACAGTGGGTAGAGGGGACAGAGAGAGAGAGAGAGACAGTGGGTAGAGGGGACAGAGAGAGAGAGACAGTGGGTAGAGGGGACAGAGAGAGAGAGAGACAGTGGGTAGAGGGGACAGAGAGAGAGAGATCACTTCTACCACTCCCCAGCTGCCCTGAGAATACCTCTCAAGTGACATAGGCCGCAGATTGACTTGGGTGCCGAGCTTTACTGGCCAGCAGCTGAAGAGAGCCACCATGCTGAACTGCAGGACTTTATGGTATATTAGAAAGAAAACCCCTTTAAAAGAGAGATGATCTGAGGTCTCTGTAAAGTACCCCACCTATTTCTCCCTTTCCTTCTTCTTCCCTTGCCAGTTAAATGAGGCCATGTTTAACCTGGCTATTTCTGGGATGTGTGGGTAAAGACCAGTCTCATTGGACCAAAGAAAACACAGTCTGTCTACCAGGTAGCTCCCAGGAAGTTAACTACCATCACCCTTGTATTTCATTCATTTTAATGTATTATCTTTCTCCAGAAGAATAACAATAATATAATAATAATATGCTGTTGTTAATGCTAATGATCATGATGAATTGGAACCCATTTACATTCTTTAAAAAATCTACACCAAGCATGGTGGTTCACGCCTGTAATCCCAGCACTTTGGGAGGTCGAGACGGGTGGATCACGAGGTCAGAAGTTCAAGATCAGCCTGGTTAACATGGTGAAACCCCATCTCTACTAAAAATACAAAAATTCGCTGGGCATGGTAGCAGGCACCTATAATCCCAGCTACTCGGGAGGCTGAGGCAGGAGAATGCTTGACCCTGGGAGGTGGAGGTTGCAGTGAGCCGAGATTGTGCCACTGCACTCCAGCCTGGGCGACAGAGTGAGACTCTGTCTGAAAAAAAAAAATAAAATAAAATCTAGGTTTCCACTTTGTTGTTGGTAACCTTAAAATTTAGAAGAAAGAAGCAAATTCTGAAGGATGTTGTTTTAACACCAACCATTTCAAGCTGGGTTTTGGGCTCCGCACAGCCATTCTAATCTCTTATACTTTCCACACCACGTTCATACAGTGATTCCTGAAACACTGCCAGATTTTCACTCAGCAGAGTCAGCGATGCCCAAAAGGCACTCTGACTATGGCAAGAAAGCAGCCTCAGAGAGGTTACATTGTTAGGAAGGAGTAAAGTCAATACAGATTTTCCTTGGGTCCCCAAAAAATCCAGGCCACTCCCCTCACAGACACATTCCCAAAGCATTCTAGTTCACTGAAGACTGGTTAGTAATAGAAACAGGGTCCCATCTGTACTTTGCATGGAATAGGTCCCCCTATAGTGCCCAGGAGCTTAATGTTCTACACCAAAGGAGGCCAGAAGGTTTCAATCTTCTGATCCCTAAATCTGGCCCCAGATTCTGGCTGCCATTTTCATTTATTCATCGAGCATTTATTGCGTACTTACACGTGCCAGGCAGTTCTATGTGTTAGTGTTACAGAGTGAACAAGATAAATACAATCTCTGCCCTCATGGAGTTTCCATCAGTGATAGGTTGTTAGGAAGGAGAGTGACAACAGGTAAAGTGGTCTGCAGGTGTAAAAGTACTAACATCACTCACCCCATTTGCTTTCAAAAAGTTGGTCCTGACCTCTCCACCTTGCCTCTTGCTGTGGAAGGTGAATTCTGGTATTTAACAAGACAACTGGAATACCATGGTGGGACACCTTGAGTCTGCTATGAGATGACAAACTGATTCCAAGACTTCCCTGGGGTTTGTCTCCCCCAATAGCTGGTGAGTTCCTTGAGGCAAGGACTATGTCAAGTTTATTTCTGCACACCCAGAACTTAGCACAGTAAAGGTACAAAGAAAAAGCTGAATGAACAGGGTTTTAAAATATTATGTAGTGCATGTAGGAGCCCTGTGGGGGTCCATTTCTTGCTTAGGCTGGCTTAGCCTCTACCACTTAGTATGAAACTTTTGGCTTCAAAGGGACCCTCAGGCCAATGGCTCCCAGGCACATGAGCATCAATCTGCAGCATGAGACACTGAATGAGTCCTAGGATACAGCCACATATACTGCTACCAGTGAATATAACTCTGATATACCAAGACCGATATCCATGCTTACACATTTAAAAGAGCCATCTGAGCAAAATGGCACAGATATTTGATGGTTTAGTGGGAAGAATAGCTTAGAGGGATTGCAAGAATACCTAGGTTGATGGGAGGTTTAGTTGTCTAGGGAGGGAAGCATAGGAGACAGCAGAATAAGGCAGGCGCCAGACTCTTTTACTTACTTTAACACCTGTGCAACTGTATTTGGTCCAAACCATTCTCCAATTGATTTCCCTTCTCCTACACCCATTTGTGCTGTTTTTATGTGGAAAAAATTAACATGTTAGCAAACGATCTTCCAGTAAGCCACAAACTCCTAATTTTTTGCATAAATAATTAAGCAGATGGACAACTTAATGGAGCCACATATAAGGCAAAGGAAGAGAAGGAACAGGAATAGGCACTGCCTTTAAACTATTGATTTATGACCTTACCCATTTGATGGATAGAGTAGCAACAATCTTTTCTATCTAAGAAGCACTGTAGGATGCGTTGGTATTCTTTGGGTTGTTCTTTTTGTTTCTCCCAGCTCCAGTCTTTTTAAGAAAAAAAAAATGTGTTAGAAACATTTTTATAACTGTTTATTACTTCTCTGCACTTTTATTGTAACTACAAAGGTAGAAGGAAAACAAAGGCACCACATCTAGAAGGCAGGAATGATCAAGTTAGAACCTTCCTAAGTATCTTTCATTTTGATAACAAAGACATCTGGAAAGTGATTGCTTTCAAGGACTCAGTGGGTATACAGTAAAAGCAAAACAAGAAGTTGACCAAGGAATTGACTTAGCCCAAGAGCTGGATCAATATTATATAAAAACAACGTCACAAAGGCCTTTCTGGCCAGTTACTCAGTGAACAGGAGGTCACCACAAAGCCCGGCAGTACATCGATATATAAGCCAGATGCCATAGCGTCTCATCTCCACATAGACGGCAATGGCTTTTGCTCTTATATTTTGGCAGCATTGACAAAAGGATCTCACGGGTAAGAAGTGCTCTTTTGATACACAACAGTTCACAGGGGAATATACACAGCTCACAACTAAGGAAGCTTAAAAAAATTGCATGCTGTCGTTTTTACACCACCTTTTAAAAAGTCCATGCTGAGCTTTGGGAAAACAAATAACTGTGCTATCAGGTGTTCAAGGTTTCCCTAAGACCAAAGCCAAAATAACTACATCTGTATGGATACCGTCTGTGCCTTCAGCACAGCCCCCTAAATCCTACAGAGGCCATTTGTAACTTACTGAGGACAACTGCAAAAACTCTCTGTAATCACTGCAATCCTCTCAGCTCTAGAAACACTGGCTAATGGGACAGATTTTTGAGGCTTAGTTTGCTTCCAAGACAAATTTCTCTCCTGAGGTTTTAGAGAGAGTTTGAAATAAAGACTGAACTACACTTGAAGCCAAAGGCCATTATCTCAAGACTCTTCAGTTATTTTTTGCTTCTAGTGTTGCTAAAACCAGAGTTTTTAACTTTGGATCCAGCACAGCCCTCAGAATTTGGAACCACATCCAACTTCTTTTCATTAGCTACCAAATTGTCCAAGTCTGAGGAAATCCTAATTAGCTGGCTGCTAAATGCCACTAAATATTTGCTGACGACAATGGTAAGTGAATACTCTACCTTAATTTTAAAATAGCTGAATAGCAAACAATCCAAAAGACATCTTTACAAAATTTCTCTTTTAACTCATTTTAGCTACAAGATCTATTTCCAACTTCTTCCTGCTACTTGCTTTTGTATTAAAACAATTGAGACTGCTGACTGTGGAGGTTTTTTTTTTTTCCAGTTTGCTCCCTACTTCCAGAACTCGCTTCCAAAATAATCATTTTGAAGTGTGTTATAAATGAAAAAAAAAATTAAATAGTGAGAATGGATCTATACCAAGAAGCATGTATAAACAAGGGAAATCACTGGACAAGGAGTTGGAATATCTTTATTTTATCCCCAAATCTTCGATTTCTTGCTGTTTTACCCTGGGTAAATCACATCACTTCCCTGAGCCTTGGTTTCCTCATCTGTAAAATGGAAATTATTATACTACCCAGGGCAAGCAGGATATCCCAAACCCTGAAGAGAAGGCAATAAGCCCTGAAACCTCCGTGGGCCCTTCTCCAATCCTCTCTGAAAGCTGCAGCAAAATCTGTGAGTTTGCACAGTGGGAAAAGGAAAATGATGTTTCTATACTTCTGAACCTCAATTAGCAACAGCCAATGAGTTCAGCAGCCCAATTTCATCCAAAGTGTCCTTTCACTGTCTCATCCCCAAGTCTAACTGGACCTTCACCTAAGTGCCTGAACTGGCATGCAGCCAACCCCATCCTTCAGATGCCCATAGGGAAGCATGTACATGTTTCAAGAAAGCAAGACTCAAGAGTTCCAACAACCAGCCGGGCGCAGTGGCTCATGCCTATAATCCTAGCACTTTGGGAGGCCGAGGTGGGTGGATCATCTGAGGTCAGGAGTTCGAGATCAGCCTGGCCAACATGGCAAAACCCCATCTCTACTAAAAATACAAAAATCAGCCAGGCGTCCAGGCGTGGTGGTAGGCACCTATAATCCCAGCTACTCAGGAGGCTGAGGCGGAGAATCGCTTGAACCCGGGGGTCACAGGTTGCAGTGAGCCAAGATCACACCACTACACTCCAGCCTGGGAGACAAAGCGAAACTCTGACTCAAAAAAAAAAAAAAAAAAAAAAAAAAAAAAAAAGAGTTCCAACAACCATTATCAGAAGGCTCTTAATTGAATGTCCTCCCAAGGAAGCAAATTTAAAGATTCCTTCATCATCAGCTGGACATCCTTAGTGAACCAAAACCAAAATAGTACCAGCTCCCTCTATATACTTCCTTTAGGTCACTTACATCCTTCACCAGGCAGATATCTTAAATGAGGTCAAGAAACAGACTTACCACCACACCCTTTTTCCTGCTGCCTTTGTTATCTTGCATTTCTAAGGACTTACTCAAACAATAGCAAAGATGGAAAGGATAAATGACACACCTCCCTCAATGTTCAGTTCTGTCCCAGGAAAATAACTCCCTGGCTTGGTGACTCACAGGAAACACTAGCTGTTTCCTTCTTATGAGGGGCTTTGTTGACTTGTCAGCCCCACCACTTGAGCTTGCAGAGAGCACTTTAAGACCTACAAGTTTATTACTGAATGTTCCCAAGGCTCAGCATCAAGCTAAATCAATAGCAGCAAGTGACACTGCAGAGGTCTCTGAGAAAGTTTATAAAACAAATTTAACTCACCCCTTCCCAAGTGTCTACAGATAAGGGCTTGAGCCAGCATCATCTGTCCACAGCGTAGCATACATCCCCAACCAGCATCTGATGAAGGGCCCGTTCCCCCTGTTGGCAAAATGGAAGGGAATGAATATGGGTTCCTCAAATTGCCCTTTCCTGAAACATCAGCATATTTAGGACTCACACAAGACAGGCAAATAAATATACTCTGAAAAGCGAGGTAACAGATATACCCACAGATCAAACAAGATTTGGGTATACAGTTGGAACTTGCAAACATAGTACTGAGTCAACCAAAACAAGTTCTACAGCCAAACATAAAACAAGCAAATGAACTAAATGTGTCCCTTATGTTTTCTGCTTGAAGACTTCTAGGTATACATGCAATTTTGGTAGGTGACTGCCATGTATGAATACCAACCCTTAGTCCATTCCATGTCATCATCTGCCAGACCCAAACCTTGCCTTGCATAGCTCACTTGCATGGCCCTGAAATTCTCAGGGAAGCCAGTCTTACTTAGGTAAAGAACAAATACTACCAAAGGCAATCATCAAATGGTCAAAGAGATTTGGAAGGCTCATGACTATTCTGAATATATATTATGAAGATCTGAACAGCAAGAAGGACATTGTAAAATAGGGGAAAGATCCCTAGATGAGGCATCAGAAGACCAGTCTCTAGTTATCTAATCTAAATCTCATCTACAGGCTGAGCATAATAGTACATACTCTGCCTACTATCAGTGGGTATTGTAAGAACTGAGAGAATATCTGTGAAAGTGTTCTAGAACCCACAGAGGATGACACAAATACTTGATGTTTTGAGTATGATCATAATTTAAACCCATATTAATGAATTAGAAATGTATCTTTAAAAGGTATAAAATTAGTTAATAAATGAAATAAGACAACAGGTTCTATTTTAAGAACACCTTATGCAAAGAAAATCACACATATGAGGCCAGGGTGAGCTCAATATTCTTTTCCAAGGGGCCAATGAAATCAGATAACTTGAATGGCAGACAGGGTATGTTGTTTTCATTGTTTTCTTTTCCCAGTGTGGAAATGGAAAAATATGCTATAAGCATGATCTCAGAAGACTAACTTCAAAGGGGGTCATCAATCTTGTAAGACAAGTGGGTCAAGGTGGTCACCCCTTTCTTTTAGTTGTGGGGACTGAAGGAAAGTTACAACAACAAGATGGGAAGGAGGGAGTCAATTTATGACCTGGAAGGGGTGCCTTTTGATTGTTGCTAATGCGGGGATTATTGGCCAGATTAGTAGGGAAAAGATGCAATGAGGCCCACATAAAGCAGAGATCATCTATTGCCAAAATATTGGCAGAGTAAAATTAGAAATATTTTCCAGCCTTGCAAAGAGCTCCACAGCCAGAGAAAGTTAACAGTTCAGAACCACTGGTTACTAAACATTGTTCTTTTGTTTGTTACTGACTGGTGTATTTCTGGGGAGAGAAAAAAAAATAAAGGAAAAGTTTGTGTGACCTTCATTTTTGGCACTGAACAGAAAGATTGATTTCATTCTAGTGTCCTCTTAGAAGAGTAAATTTCACTATTTGTAGGCCCTTTTCCTACAGGGCCATGATATTAGGAAGTAGCCACCCTACTTACAAATGTGTTGTATACCCTTTATGAAAACAGCACATTCACTTCACCTATTGAATTGTCCTTTTTTCTAGTTGACAGCTGGTAACAGCCTAGAATTAGTTCCAAGGAAACTACTGTAATTTGTCTCTCAATGGCAAGGTGCTTTCATGTCAAAAGGGGGAAAAAACCCAAATAAATTATTTTCTTTCTTTCAAGACACAATTTTCATTAATAATCAAGTAGTTCCACAATGCAGTGGATTGTAATTTAATATATATTATACAAATTAAAGGCTTACGTGATTTTTCCCCTTAATCTCAAAAGTATAACAAGTAATATCATCTGGTGCCTGAACACTTGGAGGTGGGGTCAAAAGTATACAGTCATAACCCCTCAATGCCATAGAGCCATATGTGAAAGGATACTTTAGCAATGAAACTTTTGGATGAAGTGTAAGATTTACCTAGTCCCCTAAATCAAATTCTTTGCTATAGTGAGCAATTAATTCTGAGGTTTCTATGAAGTCACTGATAACCTCAGGCAAGCTATCCACAAGGAACAAAGCAGAGTAAAACAAATGATATACCTACCAATTGGTGAAAATTTCCTTCTGTATGTAAACCATAGACGAGCACTTATATCAGACAACAGCTTAGATTTTTCTGTAATTAAATGTAAAATTAAAATTAAATCACCATATCTAAAAATACCCACCTTTACTTCTGAGCCAGCTGCCAACTTAATTTCAAATAACCAGTCAATTCCATTATTATGGGGCTAGGTAAATTCACAGGAAACCCATTCTCATTTTAGCCAAATAATTTCAGTATTTCTCCCAACCTATGGTTTGACCAGAGCTACTTGACTGGTGTAATGACATTGGGTAGCTCCTGTCATCTTTTCACTGAATTCCACAGTCCTGACAGTTACAAACACTGGGATCATTGCCAAAAGACAAGGAATAAGAAAATTAAGGATCTTAGAGAACCCACTAACAAGACTATCAGCCCCAGCCTGAATGATGGTTGGCTGGATCTTGTATCAGCACCCATCATCCCTTATCTAAAACTAGAGGTTTGGCTGGGCCCAGCAACTCACACCTCTAATCCCAGTGCTTTGGGAGGCTGAGACAGGGAGATTGCTTGAGGCCAGGAATTCAAGACCAGCCTGGACAACATAGTGAGACCCCATCTCTACAAAAAAAATGAGGTATGAGGATCACTTGAATCCAGGAGTTCGAGGCTGCAGTGAGCTATGATCACCACTGTACTCTACCTGAGTAACAGAGAGACCTTGTCTTAAGCAAAACAAAATAAAACAAAACAAAAACTATTGGTTGGCTTGTTTGTGTGTGTGCATGTGTGTCTGTGCATGCACACATGCATCTTTAAATAAAAAGGAAATGCCCTACTAAGCAAATTAGGTGTGTAAGAAATGTATCTATAGCACCTAGTGCAACCGGCACTTATAATCTAAATGCATATATAATATCACAAATGTTTTTGTGCCTTTTTTCAAAGCATGCTTTCTCGTATTTTATGACATAAATTTACTTTGATGGGCCACAATATGGCCTCCACATTTTTATCTGTACTTAGATGTGACTATCTTTCTTAGTCACCTCTCTCCCTCTTCTCAACAACATGTCTGTATTATATTCTGTATAGAATTTATAGTCACTGCACTTAAAAAGAACAAAGGGAAATCTACTTTGGGCCAATAGTTTCTATTTTCTGTCTTCCTTTTCTTTGGAGCAAGTTGGAAAGTTGAGCTATCTATATTTTCCGTCCCTTCCATGCCCCAGTGCCTAGCACATTCAGGGAAGCAGATGTACAATGGTTAATAGTAAGACACCTGAAGTCATACTTTGATTGGGTTTGAACCCTGACTCTGCTACTTACCAGCCGTGTAAGCTGGTTAATTTAACCTCTCCGGGCTTCAGTTTCCTCATCCATAAATGGGGAGAATTATAGTACCTACTTCATTGAGTTGTGAGTATTCAAAAGATAATACACGTAAAGTGCTTACATGGTGAATAGTACACAGTGAACCTATGATAAATTTTAGCTGTTATATACCCGTCCTCTTAAATGTCCACACCCTCACTCCTGCCTCTGACAGTCTTTATGCCTTCCTGTGTGGCTTTATGCTGGGGAAGTTGTATGGACATTAAAGGCACTTCCCAATTTAACATTTGAATATGAGTGGATTTGGCAACCTGGGGATTCCTGTTGTCATGGAATGCAGAATTAGAAGATTCCCTCCAATCCCCTCATTTTAAGTACCACTGAAGGAAGTTAAGATCCAGAAAGAGAAAGTGACTTACCTGAGTTAGAAGAGTCTAAATAAAAAAGGTCTCCTAATCACTAGCTCCAGGCTTTCCAGTGTTCACAATTCTCCAATCAAAATAATGAAGCCAGGCTCATGAGGAGCTGACAATGCCTAATTTCCTCTCCTGCCTTTTCATCAGCCTCTTCCTGTTCCTTCCTCCAAGCTAAGTGAGGGCCTCTGAAGAGGATGTCTCCTCAGAAAGATACAAATCTCAGAGCTGCCTCTTTCCAAGCTCTGGCTTTATCTGGGTGCTGGGTTGTTAGCAGTTTCAGGTTAAAAGGTCTTTCTTTACCAATCTATAAGAATGTAATGGTAAGGAAGAAAAATTAAAGCCTCCTTTCCATCTAGCTGTAGTGGCTAAAAGTTCTATACAAAATCAGAATAAACTGAGACAGTGCTACGGTCAGCAAAAGATCTAAAACATAAGAAAAACTTACTAGGTCTGATATTGTTTCTGAGATCCATGGGTTATCTAGAAGTCCCTGAGTGTTTTTATCTAGCCAGAGAAGTATGTGAGAGTAATAAATATGTAGCCCAATCACGAAAGGCTAGAGACTGGTTAGTGATACCAGGAGTGGGTCCGTGTTTTTTGAAACCCAAGGCTTCTAGAATTTGGGGATTCTCCTTTAAGGAACAGAATAAAAATATATTACCTGTGCAAATTGTGCAAAAACCTATAACCATGTAAACTCACTACTAGGGCCTTTCGGGGCCTTGGAAGGGGCCTGTCCAAGCAAAAGTTCTGAGACTTAAGCTCCGTTGACTACAAGGTAAATCCACCTCAGAGTAGCATTAACATTAAGCAAGAAAATGCTCTGCCAACTGTTAGGCAGGAATCTAGATTCAACATGGCGGCATTACCCGGTGTAGCAGGCCTTTTGTTAAAGACTCCCTTCACCCTTGTACATACCCGCAGACTTACATGCGTCAGAGTTCTGGCTGGGCAACCACACTCCCCCATGACCTGCAGCTCACCTGCATTCCACAAGTTCATAAACAGCAGTTTCGGTTGACAGTTTCCAAAGACCCCTTCCTCATGACCCTTACTCAACTCCTGCCGTAGTAGTTTCAATACCCCCCAGGCCCTGTTTGCACAACCAGCTTCCCTACCTCTCAGGCTATAAAAAGCCCCTACCCTCCTCCCTCAGCACGACTTCCTTGGCCCACACCTTTGGACCGAGGAACCTTGCCCATGAGTCCTAATAAAGGCTATTCTCACTGCCATTTGCCTTGTGTCTTCGTTCCCGGTTCAGCTCCAGCCTCAGTTTACCTTTACACCAACCCAAGAAGAAAAAGTACAAACCCTGAACCACAGGTGCCTACCTCATCTGGGTTCTTACAGACAAATGCTACCAAATCTTACCTGTTTTAAGGAGATGCTGCTTCCCTAAGATCCATACCAGCTCATCTGTATCTGGATATTCTTCTAGGTAGTCAGTGAAAATAGTAATCTGGTTTTCATACTTGGATAAAACTGAAAGAAAATGAAAGAAACTTAAGTAAAATTTAATAGAAGGGGCTTACCTCTGTGGCTGACTGATTATTACCTTTGCTCTGAAGGTGAAAGGTCAGCAGCTTGAATCTAATGAAAGCAATTCCTTTTCCTTGAGGAACAAAGACACTCACAAGACCTCTAAATCCTTTAGCTGAAGGATTTCCTCTTGACCATCTCTTTTGACCTTCCCTTTCTCAAAGTTCCATTTAACACCATCTCTAAAAAATCATTTGGCCACAGTTACTTCAAAACATTTTATACCATAGGGCCTTCTTTGTAAATAGCCCATTATCGAGCTTCCCCTACTCTGAGTGTATTGAGGTGATACAATACATGCACACCTAACTCCTGCCCATGTCACAGGGAATATCATGAGGTTTGTATTGCGAGGTTTCCAGTGGCCAGTGGCTTGGAAGGTGCTGTGACAAGCCTGAATGTTTGTACAACTGTGTATATGGTAATATTTTAGCTGGAAGATCAGATGTTTTCATAATATTTTTATTTGCCATTTTAGTCACATATGGCTTCTGCAAAGAAGGATCTTGAAGTTAACGGTAAATATAATTTGTTCTTGGTATTCACAGATGACTATTAAGATATAATAAGAAATATATATTTAGTTTCTATCCCTGTTTTCTGGCACAGAGCTCCTAAAACCTTTGTTATGGTGAGTGATAGGGATACTTTGTGCATCTTTTGTTCTGAAATTTGGCCTCTCTGCCTGGTTCCTGACATAGAGCTCCTAGTGAATTTCCTGGGTGATAAGAGCATCTTCTGTTCTAATGAAGTATCTCTTGGTGGGCTTCTGGATGGAGGCTGGTTACCAGAAAGACTAAGCCATGATTAGAAGCTTAGAACTTTCAGTCCCAACCCCCATCCTTTGGGAAGGGTGGAGACTGAGTCAAAAATTGACTTCATAAAAATCCCTGGACTGTGGGATTTGGTGAACTTCTGGGTTGCTGAATATGTGGAAGTGTCTGGGGGGTGGTATGCCTAAAGAGGGCATGGTTGCTCTGTGTCCCTTTCCATATGCCTTGCCCTATGCATCTCCTCCATCTGGCTGTCCATCTATACCCTTTGTGATATTCTTTATAATAAATGGGTAAACATAATAAAATGTTTCCCTGAGTTCAGTGAGTCATCCTAGATTATGGAACATGAGGAGCGGGTCATGGGAACCCCAATTTATAGCTGGTCAGTCAGAAGCACATATAGCTGGGACTTATGACTGGCATCTGAAGTGGGGCAGTCTTGTGGAACTGAGCTGTCAGCCTATGGAATCTTACTTTAACTCCAGACAGATAGTGTCAGAATTGAATTAAATTATAGGGTACACTATTGGTATCTTGTGGAGAATTGCATGGTATGTGGTATCACAAGAATTGAGTGGTGAGTGTCAGAGTAGAAAACAGTTTGATTTTCCTATCTCACACAACTATGGTTATCTCTGAAGATAAAGTATCCCCCAAAATATAACTAAACCTCACTAGTTCACAAGCCATACTTTTCAAACTTATGACCATGCAATATGGGAGGAGTTAAAATTCAAATTCACTTTTGTACCAAAAGAGATGGGGTTTCACTGTATTAGCCAGGGTGGTCTTGAACTGCTGGCCTCAAGCAATCCTCCCACCTCAGACTTTCAAAGTGTTGGAATTACAGGCGTGAGCCACCACACCTGGCCTCTCTCAGAATATTAGTTACAAAGAACTTTTGAGATAGTACCCCTTCAAAAGTCAATCTTGAGTCTTTTAGCAGACCTTTTCCTCAAATTCACTTTTGTTCTGAAATTTGGCCTTTCTCCCTGGTTCCTGACATAGAGCTCCTAATGAATTTCCTGGGTGATAAGAGCATCTTCTGTTCTAATGAAGTATCTCTTGGTGGGCTTCTGGATGGAGGCTGGTTACCAGAAGGACTAAGCCATGATTAGAAGCTTGGAACTTTCAGTGCCAACCCCCATCTCCTTAAAAAAATAAATAATAATAATTTTTTAAGAGATATTATATTGTAAATAGTAAACATATTTCCAAGCCAGCCCACAAAACCTATTTTAATCTGTAACTAGAAAATTTAAATTGATAGTTTATTTCATAGTTTATGGTGCTATATCTATGAGAAAATATATTTCAAGTTCAAAGCTAAGATACTCAACACACACCTCTTAACTCATGGGGGCTCATCAGCCCCTATGAGGGGAGCACAGAGAAAGTAGGGGACCATTTGTACAACTACAGGTAGCTGCAGAGATTCTCTAAAAGAAATCCCTTGAAAGGATAAATTGTTTTATTTTATTTTGTTTTTGTTTTCTAACCAAGGGCATGTTGTTTTCATAGAAATAAATGCTCCTAAATATAAATGAGTCTGTTCTGATAAAAAAAAAATGAGTCTATTTTGATCATATAAATATTTTGTTGGAAGTTGAAATTATAATTTGTACAAGCACTTTTAGAAACACAGCTGAGATCGAGACCAGCCTGGCCAACATGGTGAAACCCCGTCTCTACTAAAAATTCAGAAATTAACTGGGCATGGTGGTGCGTGCCTATAGTCCCAGCTACTCGGGAGGCTAAAGCAGGAGAATTGCTTGAACCCGGGAGGCCGAGGTTGCAGTGAACCGAGATTGCGTCACTGCACTCCAGCCTGGTGACACAGCAAGATTCCGTCTCAAAAAAACCAACCAAACAAACAAAAAACTGTTAACCAGGGATATTACCTTTCTTAAAATATCTTACGGAATTCCAATCATTCAGGGATTTAAGTAGCCTTTCTCCTCAATATATTTTAATTACTAAGATGATAGTCTCTGCAGTGTTTCAAATTTAAAGAAGTTAGAAACAGCCATTTTGTTCCCCAGTGAAAATTCATCACTACCAAATCTGACAGGGAGCCTGTGCCATCTTAGCCTCTCTGCTGCTGGCCTCAGCCCCTGGCCCATGCCCAGGAAATACCAGGCTAAAAATGATTATCCAGGTCAGGCCATCCCCAGGAGGTGGTGGACTGAGGCAGGGCAAATCACACTGTGTACCACCCCACCCTACCCTCTAAGCCTCACAGGCAGAAGAAATCCATTTTAAATGAACATCTAGTGTAGCCTAAAAAGAGAGAAAAAATCAGAAAATAAGTAACTTGAGTAGACTGTAGGAAAAGGGTAACCTCTCTGGCATTGCCTTCGTAGGGGTGAGGATGGGTGGCATTGGATGAATGTACAGCATGTATGCATATAAGCCTTGGGTCTTTTTATAGTACTGGCCAAAGAAATACCATTTCTCTATCGCCAACCCTGTCTCAGTGAGTCACTGGCCAGTTATCTGGTCAAATTAGTAAAGCCCTTTGAAGCCTGTGACAACTGCCCTGCTTCATTTGGGATGGCTCTGATAAAAATGGCAGCCAAAGAATTTGACTCTTGCACTTCACCCCCTCTCAGGCCTAGCTAGGCCAGCAAGAAGTTCATTATAGTCTCTATTCTTCTTGATTCTTCTCTTAAAAGATAGACACCCTGATTGCAGTATGTGAGTCCATGGCCATCCCTGAATCAAGGCTACATGTATGGAACAAATAAAAGAACAGAAAATGAAATTAACAGAAACAAGAAGCAGTGACATGGGAAGATTATGTACATGGGGGTCTAGGGAGGAAGGAGGAACAGGTCTTACATAGGGAGAACTCAGATGAAAAAGCAATCTGGGAAGTGGATGAGGTGCAGAAGTAAAATATCATTTCCAGTACAATTGCTTCTGATTAACAGCAATATGTTTTATTTCAAATTTTTCACAAACTACCTTTGTCTTGCCTTTAAAAGTAAACAAACCATATATCAGGCTGATATGAGTTCCCTGCCTTCCCAGTCTGTTTAAAGAGATAGGGACTATGAGAGGTGACAGCATGCCGGCGGCCCTCGCTTGCTCTTGGCATCTCCTCGGCCTCGGCGTCCACTCTGGCCACGCTTGAGGAGCCCTTTGGCCCACTGCTGCACTGTGGGAGCCCCTCTCTGGGCTGGCCGAGGCTGGAGCCAGCTCCCTCTGCTTGCGAGGAGGTGTGGGGGAGAGGCACGGGTGGGAACCGAGGCGTGCAAGGCACTTGTGGGCCAGCGCAAGTTCCGGGTGGGCATGGGCTCGGTGGGCCTCACACTTGGAGTGGCCAGTCAGTGCTGCTGGCCCGGGCAGTGAGCGGCTTGGCGCCCTGGCTGGCAGCTGCTGGGGGGGTGTGCCGGGTCCCCGGCAGCACAGGCCTGCCGGCTGTGCTCGAATTCTTGCTTAGCCTTAGCTGCCTCCCCTCGGGGCAGGGCTCAGGACCTGCAGCCAGCCATGCCTGAGCCTCCCCACCACTGTGGGCTCCTATGCGGCCTAAGCCTCCCTGACGAGTGATGCCCCCTTCTCTGCAGGGACCAGTCCCATTGACCACCCAGAGGGGCTGAGAAGTGCGGGTACATGGCTTGGGACTGGCGAGCAGCTCCGCCTGCGGCCCTGGTGTGGAGTCCACTAGGTGAAGCCAGCTGGGCTCCTGGGTCTGGTGGGGACTTGGAGAGCCTTTGTGTCTGACTGGGGGATTGTAGATGCACCGATCGGCGCTCTGTGTCTAGCTCGGGGTTTGTGAACTCACCGATGGGTGCTCTGTGTCTGGCTTAAGGTTTATAGACACACTGGTGGGTGCTCTGTGTCTAGTTAATCTGGTGAGGACTTGGAGAACTTTTGTGTCTGGCTGGAGGACTGTGAATGCACCAGTCCGTGCTCTGTGTCTAGCTCAGGGATTGTGAACGCGCCAATTGGCACCCTGTCAAAACAGACCAATCAGCTCTCTGTAAAATGGATCAATCAGAAGGATGTGGGTGGGGCCAGATAAGGGAATAAAAGCAGGCTGCCCGAGCCAGCAGCAGCAACCTGCTTGGGTCCCCTTCCACATTGTGGAAGCTTTGTTCTTTTGCTCTTTGCAATAAATCTTGCTCCTGCTCACTCTTTGGGTCCACGTCACCTTTATGAGCT